CCTTTTCTTGTATGACTAACTCAAATCTGTCTCACTCTTCTGTTTTGTTTTATTTTTTGACTCTTACTACAGAAGAGAGCTCAGGCCATAGCAAATAGGGAATTTCATAAAAAGAACATTAAAGAGAAAGCAGCTCACCTTGCCTCAATGTTTGGATACGTGGACATACCAAAGGTGAATATGCAGCTAAAGAAACACTGACTGAGATGAGATCAGATATACTTCGTTATACTTGTTCTTTTCATCCTGTATAGATCTAAACCAGTTGGAAATGAAATCTCACATTTTAAGTCTCTGTTTAAATTTAAGCATACCTTGAAATATGCTTGAAAAGAACTTTTAAGAACTGAAGTGCACTGGTTGCTTTAGAAATGGAAAGGAATTGAAAGTGTAGCATTTAAGCAGATAATTAGTTCATTCAGCATTCACTGCATCTTACTTTTATAGTGCTTCTGTTTCTACCGATGGTTATGGTTTCTGATCAAATAGCTATCAAACAATATTCTGATTGCAATGATAATTTTTCTGCCCCTTTCAATACAGAGGTACAGATAGATCTCCAGTGTAAAAATTTCATGTTATCCTGTTGCAGATTTGGTATTGCAAATTCTGACAAATCTGTGTTCTCTCTCTGTAAGAGAAATTGAGTTAGCTAATTTTATCTGAGAATTACCAAAACAGTGAAAACAGGCAGACTCAGTGGACTGAAGAAGGCTGGGAATCAGGAGAGGGAGAAATGCTAGACGAGGTTTTTGCTGACAGAGATGATACAGGGGTCAATATTTTCTTGGTAGGGAAATATATATAGATGTCCCCCAAAGTAAGTAAATATTGAAAATCTTTGGAAATATCTGAATATTTTTCCAATGTGGTCAGGAGTTCAATTGTAAAATGTTTTACTTTGAAATGAAGGAGCTAAAGGAGAGTACATGCACACACACTACCTTTCTGATAGTTAAGCCAACTTAACTTTTAAAGTCAACTGTGAGAGCATACACACTTATGTTACTTAAATGTGGTGCAAAACCACCTCTGAGGTGTATTAGCTTGAGTCGTGTTAGTTAAGTTGACTTACTTCAAGAGATGGCTGCCACCATGTCAAGGAGTTGTACATGTGTATGCTCCCATGTGGCTTAATTTAAGTCAAGTTGCCTTATTTTAAGCCAACTTCAGTATGTGTGTGCGCACCTGGAGAGACGGAAATTAGTGGAGAGAAACTGACTCTCTCTGATCCACTGGAAGACAATGATGCTATCTATCTGTTTGGCTCAGCAGATCCATTTTGTTTTCCCTGAGCTTAAGTTCAGCACACTGAAATGTACTTGCTGTAAATACATTCAGTTTGGCTAACACTGTTCTAAATATGTTCATTTACATTTACCTCTGAAATCAAGCTTACTAGCTTACTTGGTGATCTTTCACAAGTCAGGTTTTTTTTCGTTATAACAGTTGCGTTTGACCAAAATACCTACGCTGTACAATGCACTACAGTGTAGAGACATCTAAGTTACTTGTAAGCAAACTTTCTTGTATGCTGGAAGCAGTTGAGCCACATTCAGTCAGTTGCTTTTACTGACCTCAATATTTCAGCCCTTAGAGCTACTGGTTCATAATTACTCATTGATAAAATGTTAAATTCACAAAGCTAAAATTGTTTCTTAAAGTTCATCTTGTCCACTTAAAAAAATTTCCAGTATGGTACAAAACAAATTTTAAGTTCAGACTTCAGTGGTATTACTCTTTGCTTATTGTAATGGTGGAAATTGGACTAGAAATTGGACAAAATTGGACAAAAGAGTGGGGGCTAGACTATATGACCTCCTGAGGTCCCTTCCAACCCTAGTTTTCTATGATTCTATGAAATGTAGATCATAGAGACCTACCAAAATGGCAATTTCACAGTTTCCATGGAAACCATGGAATCAGTAGATCCCCTGCAAAAAAGCCCAGTCCCCATGAAAAAGAGCGGGAACCATGAAGAAGTGCAAAAACAGCCAGCAAGTTGGGGGTGGGGGCGAAGGAGGGGGCAGGAAAGAGCCACAAGTGGAAAACAGCCCTGGCTCCCTGAAGCACATGGAGGAGGGAGATTTTTGTGGCAGAGTACAGCAGGCTCTCCACACTTCTGATTGGCTGAGGGGTTCCAGCAGTTCTGCCCCTTCCCAGAGATTGACAGATGGCTCCCTGTGAAAACAGAAGGCTGGAGGAGATCTCCCAGACCATTGGATCCAGTCTCCTGCATTCACTGGCAGGACCTGCCACACTCCACCATGAAAATGGCGACCAGTGCCATGCTCAGACCGTGAAATTGGTGGGCAGCCTTCCCCATTTCTGTAGGTCCCTAATTATAAATGTTCTGTCTGTGCATGGTATACTGTTTTGAAATTGAAACTATACTTCCATCTTTCCTGGAATAGTTAATAGACTGAATTTGACACATTATACTGAAGAGAAATCTAAGTAATGGCAAAATAAACCCTTTGAGCATGTTAACCTATGAAGTGAGGGCTTTCCCTTCTAAGAGTTGCCACAGACTATTGTCTGGGGTCAGTTTGTTGTTTTCAGGATTCAAACTTGTTTTCAGTAGCTGAATAATGTATACCTTAATGAAGAATCATCTTGTAAGAATAGAAGCTGTAAGACCGTTTTTATTTTGAAGTTGGAGCCAAATTGTGCAGTGACTCCGTACCTCACTCTTTCGGTGCATGGTTGTGCAGTTTCATCATCTTAACGTGTATTAATGTGACTGTCCTCTTGGATAACTTCCCTCTATTTCTGCTCTATACAGAATAAACTACCTACTAAAGGCCTCTCCCATTCTCAGCCCCCAACTCCCTCTTGCCCTCCATCTTACGATTCAGCCGCTACTTCCTCTTCAGCATCTGTTGGCTCTGCTTCCCCTGCTGTCCATTCTAGAAAGGTATTCTGTTAACAGATTTTCATGTAAAATCCAGACTTGCACTAAAAATGTCACAAGAATTGGCTCAGACTGAAGCTGTTGGCTTTGCATGGAGATCTGGGTATGCTGTATTTCACGGTGGATTCAGACTTTAGACTGGTCACTTTTTGTTACTTGTGCATGTTAGTGGAAGTAAAATCACCATCAAAGTCATTCAGATGAAAAAAGCTTAGGTGTGGACCAAGGAATTGTTGAAGGTGCTAACCAAAACTCAAGTTATTTGTGCAATGCTGCTAATTTTAAGTGCTCTGTTTCCTTTAATAGTAAAACCGGCTTATTTCTGTGAAATACTTAATGTGAAGAAAATAGATGAGTAGCATGGGATGACTTGTGGGTTGTTTGATGTTATTTTTTCATTCAAATATCAACCAGGCCAGAAAAGAAGTTTGATGGTAGATTGGATGATGATTTTTCAAAAAGAGAATGGATCTCTAGAGGAAGGAAAGGAATAAATTGGACAGAGCCACAGACTGCTGAGTGTTTTTGTTTTGTTTTCCTTGCTTGCATACTTGTACTTAACTTCCTTATGAGAGTCAATGGCTTGGTTAACCATTTCATCATAACACCAGATTTGAAATATAGGAAATATTCACAGATTGAATAATGGCAGCTGAATAGACATTGGAGTCCAAATAGTTTAGAGTTTTCACTAATTTCTCTTGTAATACTAAAGGTTGGTACCTTTGATTTGAATAAATTGTCAGAAGTTCAGCTTCCTTCTCTTATGCAGGAAACATTATAACTAGGGGGAATTTTCAGCTCTCTTGTTCCTGATCACCTGGGAAATAGCTACAGCAGATGTACGCAGCGCCTTTCAAGCCTCCAAACACTTGTATGCTAAGTAAGTTTGGAGTTAAACTTATTTTGGAACTCCCTAAAGTTCCTGGCTTTGTTTAAAAAACACTATTGGGACCAAACATTAATGTCCTCTGTCTAGTTCGGTCCTGCCAGCACTTTTAAGATCTGAAGGTAGTTTTTCAAAACTTGAAATGGTTTGCTATCTGTTGAGAGGATGTGAGAATTTTTTTTCTTTGCTCTTACATCTATCATTTGTGAATTTCAGCATCTACTCACACTGAAAAGAACTTTTTTTCTTGTCTGTTGATGTTTATATAATACCAGTCCAGCTTTAGTAGCTGAATGTGATTTCCTCCTTTTAGATATGCCGTAGTGCAGGTTAGTGACCTCAGTCCAGTTCCTGTTGGACTGGTACCCACTTTCCAATTGACACTGGTTGATTGGGTTGATAGCATCAGCAGG